CCTCACCTATTCCACCTCCAGTTGTTCGCGGCCGGAATGGCGATTAGACGTGTTTGCGACCCCGATTTTTTGGATGGGTCCTTCAAATCGTGTCTTTTGTTGATGCCCTTTCTGACTCTCCGCCTTCTTGTTGTTTTCCTGAGCTCTGACATTGCTCTTTTCCGTGGATTGCCCACCATGTTGGTTTCAGATGAAGAAATTTGTGCTCTTTTAGTTCCTTTTCAATTTGCTCTGGTTGGTTTTTTTTCCCTAAGCCTCATCCTTCTTTGAATGCAATTCGGAAATTTTTCTTTAATTTAAAACTCAATGTCGAATTATCTGTTATTGTTCTTGATCATACGCTTGTTTTGATTAAGCTTTCTAATTAATGACCTTGATAATAGTAGAGTTTTTTGCCATAGATACTATTTGGAGAACAATTACTTCATGAAACTCACAAAATGGTCTCCATTACTGGATGTCGGTGTTGAATCTCTGGTGATTCTAATCTGGGTATCCTTTCCCAATCTGAGACCTCATCTTTTCTCTCCTCGTATCCTTCACGCTCTAGGTTCTATGTTCGATCGTCCCTTCAAAGTAGAAACTGCCACTTCTGTTGGCTCTAGGCCTTCTCTTGTGCGAGTCTTGGTGGAACTGGACATTACTAAAAACTTTCCTAAGCAAATTTGGCTTGGGCCTGAGAAGTCTAGGTATGTTTAAAGGGTGCAAATGAAAGTATTTTCTGCTTTCCGCGAGTCGTGCAAGCATCTTGGTCATCTTAAGGGTGAGTGTTGTAATCCCTCATTCGCTTTATCTGTTCTAAATTCTCACGTTCCTGTTTTGCTTGTTGGGATTGCTAAAAGTAATGATTTGGTTGTCTCGTCCTTGGTCGCTAATAAAGAAAGGGTTAGGGGGCTTCGAAGGATGCTGGCATTCCTGTGGAAACTAATGTTCTTTTGGGTGATGATGTACCTCTGCCTTTAACCTATGTTGGCCATGTTGTATTATATACTGACATTGTTGATGGAGGTGTTAATTATTTATCTCTGCTTTTGTCCCCTGCAGGCCCTATTTTTTCAGTTGCTGGCGACATTGTTTTAGCTAATGGTGCTAATGATTTGGTTCTGGAGTGAGTGCCTATTAAGGATCTGGGTCCCTCTACTGTCGAGGATGTTAATGTCCTAGTGCCTTCTGTTTTTGTTGGGGAGGTTGTGGTACCTTTATCTATTGAATGCACTAATATAGCTAGTATTGAGGGTGTTGATAGTTCTTTGAATATTAATAATTGTTGCATTAATCTTATTGTTAGTCCCTCTTGTGTTGATGTTGTGGAGTTGGGTGATATTTCAGTTTTTTTTTAATTGATGAGGGTAGTGAAACTTTGGTTGAGCCAGGTAATGTTGGAGTTGTGAAGCCCCTTGGTAATGTTGATTCGAATCTGTGCCCGATTATGAATGGCTCGAAGGAAAATGAGGAGTTTGTTGAGATTCCTATTTATGTTATGTCTAACCTAGAATTGAAAAACCATCTGGCCCGGTCTTTGAATAATTCTATTTTGGATCAATCTGATTGGCTGGATTTGGATGAGCCCCTTCCTACCTACGCCTTGTGGGGGAGGGTGATGATTTTGTGACCATGTAAATGATGATATGTATAGTTTCATGATAGGGTGTGTAGTTGATCAAGCAGTACCCAATAGTGGTGGCAATAGATGTAAAAGTAAACCGAAAAAAAAAAAAAATAATTTTTGGTTTAACTCCTTTACGCTGTCGTGGGTTTTGTTGGCATTTTTGGACGATGATGAGGTGGCTCCATGCATGTCATCTTGGTGGATAGGGATCTTTGGCAACCTTGGTGGTCTGCTGTTCAGATTGGTGGTTGCTTGAGTGGGTTGTTGGTTGTTGTTGTGTTTTTGAGTGGTTATCACCAATGGAAGGTCTGAACCTGGCTACTGGGTGATTACAGGGAGCTTCGCCATCTCCTGAGTCCGTTGTTGGTTCCTCTGCTCCCGCCTCTTTGATTATCCTTTTGTTGAGTTTGCTTACATTTTATGTTTTCTGATGTTTTTGGGCTTCAGCTGTGTTTGGGTCCTTGTTGTATTCTCCTTTTTTTTTATTGGAATAAAATTGCTTTTCTTAAAAAAATTTATTAACTTAAGAAAATTACTGAAAAACGACTTTCTAAAAACATTTAAACATCACATACACTAATCTTCTAACACCAAGAAATTTTCTCTACTTTGCCTTCCTATACGTCTCTTCAGCTCTGCGTAAATCCCATTCCCAATTCCATTATTTTATAGCCTAAAAATTATTATTTCTTACCTAATTTATACTCCATTATTTTGCCAAGGCTCAACTCTTTTTTTTTTTTTTTTTTTGGTAAATACCAAGGCTTAACTCAAACCCTGCACTTTGCGCAACCTGCACTGAAGCCGTCCACTCTGCCAACTAGATCTGCTTTTCTCGCGCGGTCAACACACACATCGCGCGAGGAATGTGCCATAACATTTGGCGAATACACGCTTTGGTGTATTTCTTAAAAGAAGCTCTGCAAAAACTATGCCAAATGTTTTGACAAGTTCTACAATTTCAAGCAATTCAGAAAAAAAATTTACTGTCTTCCGTGCCAATTTTTATTAGGTTCGGTGTCCTGACGTAGTTCTACGTTCAGACGCCAGCAAAATGATGTCACGTGCTCATATTCTTTACCGCGCGGCCCGACGACCCGACCCGGACTGGACCCAAGATTGCTATGTATTGTCTGATTTGTGCAGACCGGTTATTGCTCGTTATTGCTTGGCAATAACGAGAAAATAACGAGAAATACCAATGTGTCAAGATCAATACCTAGCAATACCGAGCAATACAGAGCAATACCGAACAATACCCCGATTTTGCTAGGTATTGCTCGGTATTGGTCTTGACAGAGTGGTATTTCTCATTATTGTCAAGCAATACCTAGCAATACCCGAACATAACAATATCGGGTTCCGGTCCGGGTCAGGTCGTCGGGCCGCGCGGTAAAGAGTAAGAGCACATGGCGACATATTATTGGCCTTCGGATGTAGAGCTACGTCAGGTGTCCGGACCTAATAATTGTTCCTTCCGTGCAAATCTAGCTTTGCCACATTCTTCGAAGAATTCACTCTTATTTAAATTTTTATTTGGGAGATTTATATACATATCATTTTTTTTCATATTATTTACATATTCAACATATCAAAATATTAATATTATATATCTATCACCCATAAAACAAATATGAGTTCATGAAATGAAATATTAAAATTTATAGGGTGATATGAGTTGTATGAATGAAATATAAGATATGTATATTTGATATTAAAGTTATATATATGTGATAAACATGTAATATTAATATTTTAAGTGTTAGATATGTAAATAACATAAAATAAAATGATATGCATGTAAATCCCCTTTTTATTTACATTCACTTCTTATGTTAATTTTGATCTAGTGTATGTTCCTTTTTAAAAGTATCCTCATAGGATTTTTTTTTTTTTTTTTGAACATTTAGATCAATTAAGTTAGGCTTACACATATCATAAATATAATATTCAAATTCAAAATCTCTTATGAATAGTATTCATTTGTGCCGAACATCCTTAGGTTTTTAGGGCGGCTTAAATAGCTACGGTCCCAAGGGGCTAGGGCCGAACCAGGTTGTGCGAAGGTGACCAAATAATGAGCCGGAGCCTAGGGATTCCGGTGAAGCTTCTCCACGAGGCAGCGGGTCACATCGTGACGGTGGAGCTGAAGAGCGGTGAGCTCTATCGAGGCAGCATGATCGAATGCGAGGATAACTGGAACTGCCAGCTTGAGAACATCACGTACACCGCCAAGGTTTCCTTCCTTCTTCACCCATCTCTAATTCTTCTTGGAGCTCTGGCATCGGATGCAGGGCGGGGGTGGGGTTTCTATTTTGTCCTTCCTTCCCCCCCTCCCCCCCCATCGAATTTGTTATTCTCTGCTTGATTAATAGGTTTCGTGGTTTCTGCTGGCCGATGCTGCAAATTTGGTTTAAGAAGTATTCTTGACGAGTTTCTCTTATCGTTAGATATAAGAGGGCTACAATGTTTGAGTAAACGTCAAACAATTCTCTCAATCTTTATTTTGTGATACTTTCGGTGCTTTTTACTTGAACAGAATTTTTGGAGAACGATAATTTTGTAGGAAAGTAAGTAGAAAGTTTCCATGTTTTTGCTAGGTGCAACATGTTTTGATTTCAGATGAGAGGCTCATCTTGACCTTAATATACACTTCCCCTACATAGTTCCATAGATTGTCGTTCAGTAAGATTTTAGGAGTTTTGAGACATTTGTGTTCCCATCAGTGGAGTTGGTTTTGTTGATGCAAAAATCTTTTGTCCTTCTCGGAGCTTTTTACTGCTTATCCAGCTGTTGTGTTGTGAAATTATACTTCGTGTGTAGATATTCGTTAGTTTCTTCTTTGCTCTAATCATGCTTCAAGGTTGTTTTTGTATCAAATGTTATTTAATGTAAGAAGCTCTATCAATCTATTATGCTCGCGCTTTCGTCTAGATAAAAGATTGGCATTCCTCCATTGGACTTAACTGATCGAGCTTGATTTCCTATTGAGATGTCATCTCAAAATTTTAACAATTAAAACATGGTCAGGAAAATGACTAGTTTGTGTGATTTTACCTTTCTCATCCTTTGCACTATCTATTAGGACTAATGTCTTTCTTTTTCATATATCCCAACATCTCGTATAAGATGTTGCTGCCTCTTATGGATGCTCATTTTTTGAATATTTAATTGTTTACTAATTCGCAGGATGGCAAAGTATCACAACTTGAGCATGTTTTCATTAGGGGGAGCAAAGTAAGGTCAGTTTTCTTGTCAATTTTTGTGAATTTTTTTTTTTTCCTTAAGATTGAAGAATTTGTGAACTGTTACAGATTTATGGTCATACCTGACATGCTAAAAAATGCTCCAATGTTCAAACGTTTGGATGCAAGAATCAGGGTATGCAATAAATTCTTGTTTCCTTAGCTCTGGTCATTTTATGCATGTTATTGTTAAATTTGAGGAAGGTTCACGTAGCTCTAATCATTTATATATATGTTATTGTTAAGCTAGAGGAAGTCTCATTGATTCTATTTATTTGATGAAGGGCAAAGGTTCGGCTCTTGGTGTTGGTCGTGGTCGTGCTGTGGCTATGCGTGCAAGAGTAAGTTTGGTTTAAAAAGATTGAATTACTGTTTGCTGTTTGGTTGATATCATTTGTGCAAGATCATTATACACACATGCAGTGCATTTTTACATGCATGCTAAGCATGTACATAGTTCTTTATGAAACTATACAAATATCATACTCTGATAGCACAGTTTAAAAGGTTACCCTCCTTTTAATAAACAATACCATTACCTTTGGCTCAATCTTCATCATCATCAGCACCCTAGTGTTATACACAAAATGTACTTTTAAGCATCCTTTGTGTGGGTATCAACATGATAAGTTGTTATTTGTGAAGCTTGTCTATCTTTTTTTTTTGGCCTCCATGTGTTTGTCTTGGTTTTCAACTTAATGCCATATTGTGTTATATTAATATGTTATATTAATGAGGAAAACAATATGTCTAGAGAGTGCGGGTTGTGCAATGGCGGTGATTGTGTAAGGGTGGGGAAGGGTGAGAACTGAGAACTGAAGGAATTGAGTTTTTCCAATCATTGACTTGTTATTGAAACTATTTGCATGAATTTAGTTTTTCAAAATATTTATCGTGATCTTATTTTTGTGAAAAAGGAGGAATGTTTTTCTAATGTTGCATTCATAATCAGAATGTTTGCATGTTTTCTATTATTCAAATATGGGGCATGCTAAGCTTGAATCAGAGTGAGGGATTTATAGATTTTTGTTAATTAGATTGCCTAATTACTCCTACATATGTTTTGCATTTTTTACCGCTCTAAGAAACTAAGGATTTATAGAATTTTTTTGACCATTTGCCTAAGTACTCCTAAACATGCTTTTTATTTTTCCCACTCTTAAGAAATTAAGATTGCATTTACTCAGGATATTTGTTTATTTTGGAAGAAAAATATTGAGAATTAGTGGACATAATTTCATATTTTCATGAAGAAGAATAAATATCACAATAATAAATTAAGTTAAAAGTAAAAAATCAAAATGGCATGGGAAAATGTCAAGCTTTTTTGTGGAAGGAATAATCATAGGATGGATAGGGAATAATTGATCAAGAAATAAAATGTCATATGTAAAGGGAGGTGATCATGGTTAATAGTTGATTGATTAAATCATTTGTCAACTACAATCGATATAGCTAATGATTATGTTTGCATTGGATTGGAGTAAGCCCTACAAAATTACTATTGGGATATGAGTAGATATTGGTGGACTACTCAAATGATAATTTTTAGTAGCGATTTAAACAAGCATGTAAGAACTATTTGAATATGTTATGAAGAATTCATGTAAAGTCCTTGGTATAATTCTAATTAGTAAGTCTTTTGTTAAAACCTTAAAATAACTGAAAAGTGAAAACAATTGATAGAGCATTCATTAAATAAGGGGCTTAGGATTAACAAAATAAAGATTGAGCGTGTGATATATAATTTTGCTGGGCTTGAATTTGATAATTATGAGCCAATGTTTCTTGGAGATCAAGTGGTACCCAAAATAGAAGAACGGGGATGTTGATGAGGTTTTAACTTATAGAGTTGCATTTAGGTGGTGAGAAGTGGCATTGGTGCGCTATGTGATGAAAGTATCATGGAAATTTAGGGTCTATTTGGAATAGGTTTTTCATTACTATACTTTTCAAAATGTAGTAATAATTTTATTTGGCTTCTATTTTCATTGGCTTTCTAAAAATTTCTATGGTGGGAATTTTTTTTATAACCATATATGATAGTGTAGTAGTAGTTATAAAGCTGTTATCAACATATATATGATACCCACAATAGCTTTCAATTTTGTTTTCACAATAATTCTACAATCACTTTTATAAAAAATTACAACTGCTCCAAGCAAAATGATGAGGTCATCGATCAACGGTTCAGACACGTGTAT